GAATGCGAGTCAACAAATGAAATGACATGGCCATTCACCTGTGACCCATCTCAAAAGGATTAACCACCACTAATTATCTTTCCATCTGTTTAATTTAGTAGTAAATGGACTTTATGCAAGCTTTCAATAAATGTTCTTTTGTTACAATATATTTATTCTACAGACAACATAATTAAAACCAACTTAGTAAATAGTGTATAATTTTAAATAATTTTTGGTATTATATTTCATATTGTGTTTAGTGCCAGTTTCATATCTTTTTGTCAAATGAACTTCATATTAAAAATTTTAAGCAGCTCATAAAGTACAATTAACATTTGAGACCAATTGAAAGTAAAGAAGTAGAGATAAATATCTGAATATATATATATATAGTTTCAGAAGCATTTATAGCTTAAAAGAATTGATCAAAATCTAATTATTCACATTTAAGTATTGTTTACGAAAAATAATTTAATTTTATGAGAATAATCTAGAACTTAAAGGCTAGTTTCCAAAATTTTGTCAAGGAAATGATTAATTTTTCAAATGTTTAAGTGCACACCACTTTAATGAAAATGTATACGATAGAGGGTTTTACACATGATGTCGTAAATTTTCTCTATGCCATCTTGGGTGATGACTAATAGTTTGCAGAATGTGTCACTCGAAACTAATATTAAGAAGATTTTAATGCCTACCTTTTGTGTGGTAGCAATTGTTCAAAAAGAGGTGACAGGGATAAAGAAATGCCTACCCGTCATTAGGGCTGATATTAGAGAGTAGTTACACCTGCGTTAGATTCTGTTTTATATATTTCATTGCTGGTAAGTGTAAAATTAAGTTTAACTCTAAATAATTGTATGTTTTCTCCAGTTATAATAATAATAATCTAATGCAATCATTTTACATCTTGAAAAGATATGATTTAAATGCCAAATGCTGGCAAAGTGTTAGAAACCAATAGGCCTTACATTTGTGATAAAAATCACAAACTGTAAATTTTTTTTCCACATTCCTTTTAATGTGTCCATTGGGGGTTCAAAATCAGAAGAGTGTTAAAAAGCATTTCATATCTTTATTACAAATTTTGGTCCTGTGAATATTTATATCTGTTTAAATTTATGGTTTCACAACACAGACCACAATTTGATAACATTACTGTAGTTGAACCCAAACAACCAGGTAACTGAAAGCCTGTGTACTCTTGTAAACTAGGCTCTTTTAATGAATGAAGTTGTGGCATACAGAGATGCTCACTATATATTTAATATGTCACATTGTCTATGGTTTGTATATCTGGTAATAACTTTACATCATGGCTCCATTTGGTTTATGAATGGTGTATGGGTCAGTTTTATCAAGTTTCTGGCCTTTGATTCACCATTTACTCTGTCAGAACATAATTGTTTAACAATGTCCCAAGATCTTTTTTTCTTCTGTCTTCCACATTGGAAGATTGCATTTCATCTAAGATGGTGCAGTATCATTGTTACTAAGATGCTTATGATGTCAGTGAGAAGCTTCTATTATTCCTTACTAATTATAAATATTTTTCTAATGTCTAGTTATTTCATCATTTGTGTTTCTTTCCAGAATTGAGGTGAAATCCAGAATGTTTGATGCATGTCTAGTTATTGATGGCGGTTTATCATTTTTATTTAATGATGGTGCTGTAGCTACACTGGATATACTTGAAGATGATGCTTTACGAACAGTCACACTTTTGGAATGACTGTGTGTATAATTCTAAAACTTTCCATTCTTTTACTTTGTAGAAAGGTATATATTATTAGCCATGTTATATGTTTAACCAGTAATAAAACAAGTTTTACAAAAAATTTAATACTGTTTGAGCCTGCATTTTAATTACAAGCAAATATTTTTAATAAAGATTAAAAACAACCTGTAAAGAACATTCTTAGTTTCATTTCTATCTGATCAGATGTGATAAACATATTATTGGTATTTTCATAAACAAAATTAATAATCAAAAATTGATACTTTCCTGATTAATTTGGTAACATAATTGTGATTTACAATTTTCATTGGGTAAAATTGTATTGTAAGCCATGTTTGACATTAAAACTAATAAATGTTATATTTTTTCAAGAAACATTTTTTAATCTCAGATTTATTAGATACAAATACAACAGAAGAATTACAAAACTTAAAAATAAAAAAACATAAGAGGAATAAAAATGGATAATTTCTTAACTAAAACATAACCTTAAAACTACCAATGGAGTCTGGCTGGATGCCTTTGATGTTTTCAACACATTTTACCAAACTATTTATGTACCAATTATTTGCAGGTCCATGACATTTTGTTAAAGGATCCTTAATAATGCACACAATGTTTTTTTAAACAAAAATGCGATAAATACTATAATTAAGTTCCTCATTAGCACTGTTTTTCCCTAGTGGTTCAAGGAGGATGGTATATGTACCGGTAAGGAAAGAAGAGTGTGACATAATGGCAAAACAAAAGTATTATACTACTCTCTGTAAAACACCCTGCTCTTTAGTGTCTTTGCAGTTATAGCATGAATATACTTCACCTCGGGTCCCTACCCTTATACTTCGTAAACATTACTCCCCCACCCCAATACCTGCATACTGGCATTTTTTCCAAATCTCTATAAACATTGGCTTTCCATATGTATTTTGCACAGAAAATGAATGATTTTTGCAATAAATACTATGGCCAAAAATAACAAGAAAAGTACCCAACTGATGAAACAATCCATTCTAATCTTTGTAAATAAGAATGCAAAAAAAATTATATTTAATTATCTATGGTATAAAAAACAAGTTGATAATTTCAGCATCAACTGGTAGCAATCATCGTCTATGACCAAGAAAATCTAGAAAATCATAAGTTATTAAATATTTTATCTTTTTCTTTACGATTATACATATAATTGAAGGTCATGTGTAAAACAGGATATTTCTAACAGACATGCAAAAAAATAAATTGCTAGGGTAGTATGTGGTAGACTGAAGCAAACACACATTAACAAGTAAAAAATAAATTGCTAGGGTAGTATGTGGTAGACTGAAGCAAACACACATTAACAAGTAAAAAATAAATTGCTAGGGTAGTATGTGGTAGACTGAATGTGATTTGTTTTTACTTGTTAATGTGTGTTTGCTTCAGTCTACCACATACTACCCTAGCAATTTATTTTTACTTGTTAATGTGTGTTTGCTTCAGTCTACCACATACTACCCTAGTGATTTGTTTTTACTTGTTAATGTGTGTTTGTAGGGTAATATGTGCTAGATTGAAGCAAACACACATTAACAAGTAAAACATAAATCGCTAGGGTAATATGTGCTAGATTGAAGCAAACACACATTAACAAGTAAAAACAAATCACTAGGGTAGTATGTGGTAGACTGAAGCAAACACACATTAACAAGTAAAAACAAATCACTAGGGTAGTATGTGGTAGACTGAAGCAAACACACATTAACAAATAAAAAATAATTCACTAGGGTAGTATGTGGTAGACTGAAGCAAACACACATTAACAAGTAAAACATAAATCTGTAAGCTTTACACTTTAACAGATATTAACAAGTACCACATAACTCTGGAATAGTAGATTAGAGGATATACAACTAGACAGTATCAAGTAAATACACAACTCTGAAACAAGATGTGATGATGAACTGTGAAAGAAATGCTATAAACACTAAAACAATGCTAAGTGAAGTACTATGTGGCAGACTAAGATGCTATTTAACAATTTGAGAACAAAATAAAAGAAGCTGGTAATATGTAATAGACAACAGATTTTGTCCCAACTGACCATCTTTGACCATACTAGATACAATATTATCAAAACCACCTCAGACACAAACATGGCCTCAGAATTGGTTAAAGTGCAAATTGTGGGTAATGAATGACAGGAAGCATACAGGGTGGTCTAATTTCAGTTTGTCTGTACCAAGAGTAAAGATATGAAGAAAGCCATGTAAGTCACTCAACCCTGCTTGTATTGCTCCCATAACATAAGCTGCTGGAAGTGATGTAATATTGTGAAAATGTTCTTATAGTACTTAAACTTAAGAGTAAAGATAGGAAGAAAAGCACATAAGTTACTTAACCCTACTTGTATTGTTTTGATAACATAAGATGCAGGCCCTTCAGGAAAAGTAAGAACTTTAGTAGGGCAAAGTTTTTAAAAAAAGTAGGGATAACTTGGGCAACAAGTATCATAAAAGTATGTGTAGCTGCTTCTGTGTCTGTTGTTCTGTCAAACTCCCAAATTAAATTCTACACTGTTATCCATAATTTTTTCGCAATGCTTTGCTCAAATATGGCCCAAATCCATGAAATATGAGGTAAAATACATTTTGGTGAGCTATACTAAACTCACTACTTAAAATATTGGGGAACATTGCTTTAAATATTTTGGAACCTTCATTACATGACACAAAAGACCAGTCTTCAGCACAGGGTTTCAGATATTATGATCCGCCCAATCAGATCAGGACTTTGAAATAACATAGAAGCATTTGTCACTGTAATAGTTGAGCAAAAACTGTCAAAGTGTACTGTTACTGGATTTGTTTCTACACTGTTTTGTAGGACAGTTTTTACTGATTAGAACTCAACTTTACCTTAGCCAGTTCTTTGAGTTTATCTCTCTGTCCATGTTTCAAGAGTTGCTGTTTGCCACTATTATCACAAGCTACTGTCTTTTGACAAATACTGCAAAAACAGTGAAACTGCTCATTTGACAATGGCTGACAAAAACATGAAAGTTCCTGACCATTATTGTATACACAGGTTAGCCACTGGTGTTGGTACTGTTTTTTTCTGTGTAGAATGTTAATTTTCAACATTATCCTGACAATGTAACACTTGTTAAAGAGGCTTTCTCAAGCAGCACTACCATGGACACACAAATTGTACAAGCAAGTGCTTATATGTTAAATTAGTATAAAATTAATAACGTATATTAAAAATACCAGAATCTAGCTATTTCAAGACATAACTGACAGAGAAATGCATACTCTCATATTTAAAAATCAAATAACATGCAGTTAAAGCTTATGCACTGTTGTAGCTATTGGGGGAAAATTGCCTCCCTTAGTCAAAATGTTATTAATTATTCTGAAATTTCGGCATCTCAAAATTTATGTGACACGAAATATCAAATAATTTAATTTAACATTATTTCCCTTCTATTTTTTAATATCCAATCTCATATTAACCTTGTATCTAGCCTATATAAAAACCAGTGTGTGTGTGTGTGTCACATTATGACTGATTTCTTGAAATAGAATGATTTCACAAAATTTATTTCATTTGGCTATGAAACGTTAGGGTACACTATAGGGTGGGGTGGTAGTACTTGCCCCATCACTTTTGATGGACTAGATGCTAGTTATTATAATACATAAGCTATATCCACATTCCTAGACTAGTCCATCCGAAGCATGCACTGAGCGAGACATTTGACAAATGCACTCCCTCATCCCTGAAGTCACAGCAGAACTTACAATGATTGATGTACATTTATAACTTCAATCTCTTGCGGTATAATTCGTTCCATATGGTGCATGCTCCATGTATTTAAGTATACTCTGTTTACTAACATGCTCCATACATTATAATATAGATTTAGGACATTGAAGACAGAAATTAAAGATCTGGTGTAACAAAATCCTATTGTATTTTTATAAGGAGAAATCTGTTCTAGCTGCTCAACATGCCTCCAAAACCTAAATGTCACAAGCTTGAATGTTTGATATGTGGGAAAGTTGCCAACAGCAATTATACACTAAAACACAGCATGATTTGTTTTCAAGATATGGTGAAAGCTAACCAGCCTATTCAATACATTTGAGGTATTATATAAAGTATATTATAGTCATAATGGCATATTCATAATTCACTAATAATTTCTATCATCTAGAATTAACTCTAATCTATAAAATTAGCAGGAAAGTCAATAAATCCATTTAAATAACTTCATAATCAAAGGTGAACATAATTTTATTAATGCACAATATGGATTATTTATTTATTCATTCATTTATTAATTAATTTTCAGCAGGCCTCTTTATCTAGAAAATCATTACTTGCATCAAAAACTACACCCGGGCAGGCGTGACTTGCCTAACACCTCTACACCTTCTGTGTCTGCTATGAAGGATGAAAATGATTCAAGTGAAAAAGAAACTAACAGATTTGCAGAGTCTGGATTACATATGAATATATCATCTTCAGATGCATCAAGCCTAAGTGACTACTGAATAATTGAGTGCTCCCACACAAAAATCATTTCTAGATCTCACAGAGTCCTATCTGTCTGATCCTGCTAACATAATTGATATACCTCTGGTACTTGAGAATTACTGGAAGTGGGACCATGCCAACCAGGGATTAGCAGGAATTACATTTTCACAAAAGATGAATCAGGACATTCATTTTATTCATCATGGTATCACAAAAGTCTACCTAATGGGTTGAAAATCAAGCACAACTGGTTGATATACTCTGATAAACAATCAATGTGAAGCCTTTTGTTTTCCTTACATTATGTTTGCTGAACAACACAATCTAAAGTATGAGCCAACAGGATGTGATGTGACCAAGGGTTTCTGTAACTGGAAGAAGGGCACCCAACAAATTAAAGAGCATGAAATATCAGAAACACATTAATATGTGAGATGGCTATCACAAAACAGCATATCGTCAGTGGATGTTCAATTAACCAGGAGCAGCTCAGAACTCATTTATAAACTGTTGAAAACAATATACTAGTGTTGAAATGCATCATCCACATAATATTGTTCTTGTCACAACAGAATCTATCCTTTTGTTGA